ATTTATATCAGTATGTGAAGTTTTAATTTGACAAATGAGTTTGCCCACAGAAGTAATAGTTTCTTTTTAAATTTTAAAAACTTTTAAATTATTTATTTTAAATTAAGAACTAAAAACTGTACATATTAATTTGTACTATGTGATATTTTGATATGTAGATACAATATTAAATGTTTAAATCAGCTTCAACATGTTTATCTCATCAACTTTTGTGGTGAAAATTCTTAGCTAGTTTTCTGAAACATTTAATTCATTATTATTATTAACTATAGTCACTCTCCTCTGCAATGGTATTTGTTTCATTTCAATGCCACTCATAATAGAGGAACCAATTTCAAATATATATATATATATATATATATATATATATATATATATATGTCTCCACGAGACTAAAACAAGATGCTTTAAGATAATTTCAACAAGCTAAGATTATTTATCTTTAAATCTTATTAAAAGTAATTTGAAATAATACTGTATTTTCAAATTTTGACTTTAATAACTTATTAATTACAACTTACAACAAATTATCTTTTAAATTTTATAATTAATTTTTACTGTCTTAAGAAAATGAGAGACCAGCAGAGGCAGTGGCCTGAGCAGCCTCAGCCTGTGCCCTCTCCCTCCTGCCCAATCTCCCTCCTGCCTTCCCCCACCTGGGCCTCTTTCCTCCCTTTCTCCTCCACCCCACACTTCCTTTTCTACCCTCCCCTGTTGGTGGGTCCCCTGTGCCTTCCTGCTCACTCTAATTGTTCCTCTCCTGGCCTCCAGCCTTCCTTTCTGGCTAGCTCCCCTCTTTCCCCCCGCAGTGGTCTCTCATCTGCAGTTTTTGGCTTTCACCCCCACCAGTGACCAAAGACTTGACCACTCAAAATCCAGCTCTCCATAATGCTGCTCACTGGTGTGATTGAAGGTGGATTCAATGTCATTCTCACCATTGGGCTACTTATGCATGGAAAGGAAGCTGGCAGTCTCATGGGAAAGAAAGCAGAATCAGTTAAGAAGATGCATGAGGAGAGTGGTGCCCATATCAACATCTCAGAAGGGAATTGTCCTGGGAGAATTATCACTTTGGCTGGACCCACTAATACCATCTTCACAGCCCTTGCTATGATCATGGATAAACCAGAAGAAGACATCAACAGCTCTATGACCAACAGCACAGCTGACAGTTGAACCCTTATCACTCTGAGGCCCTGCAAGTCAGTTTGGCTCTCTCATGGGAAAAGATTAAGGAAATTATGAGAGTGTACAGGGACTCAAGTCCAGGTGGCAGGGGATATGCTCCTCAATTCATCTGAACCGGCCATCTCTACTGCTGGTATTCCTCAATCCATTATTGAGTGTGTCAAAACAGATCTGCAGTGTCACATTGGAGATTCTCTCCCTGTCCCCGCCCCAAAGAACGTGGCCGTCTTCTATTGGCCCAAGCCCTTAAATTCTCCCATCATCTTTGCTGGTGATCAGGCTTATATTATTCAAGGATGGTGTATTCCACAGCCAGATTTGGCCAAGCTGCACTAGTTGGCAGTGCAACAGTCTCATTTTCCTATGACGCATGACAACACCGGATTCAGTGGCATTGGATCCAGCTCTCTGAGGTGAAAGACTATGGGCAGGTTTGTATGCATCTGCTCAGACTACTTCTCATGAACTCACCATTCCAAACAACTTGATCAGCTGCATAATCGGGCATCAAGGTGAGATCCATCAGATGTATGGGGCGCAGATCAAAATTGCAAACCCCGTGGAAGGATCTACTGATAGGCAAGTTACCATCCCTGGATCTGCTGCCAGCATTATCTTGGCTCAGTATCTAAACAATGTCAGGCTTTCCTTGGAGATGAGTGGCATGAGGAACTGCTAGAACAATGCAGATTCATCCATAATCCCTTTCTGTTGTTCACCGTGATCCATCTGTGTCAACGATTCCAGGTTGTAAATAATTTGTAAATTTTCAGTTTCTACACACTTTATCATTCACTTATGCTTTTTAAATTAAAGCATTTTAATTCTTTGTTCTGCCATCAATGCTGAGATGTATATTTAGTTTTATAAGCTTCTCCTTTTTTTTTTTTTGGCTCATGAATTTTTCTGTTTGTCATGGAAATGTAAGAGTGGACTATTAACACATTTCAGTTTAGTGCTGTAATGTCAGGAATTAAAAAAAAAATTAAAAGATGGAATGTAGCATCACACTTTTTAGTATGGCCTACTGTTCATGCCTCATGTGAAACTCATGCCGATAGTGATCCACCACTGACTAAAATAGTATTGTGTTAGTTCATATCATGTTCAGTAAAGTGAGTCCACAGGCTTGGACATCATGAAAATGTCAACTTGTTATTTATAGTTACTTTCAATTCTGTATTTAACTCATCTTTAACTGGTAATATAGTTTTATGGGTTGCCAGTGGTCCACAATTATACTTCAAACTATATCACTCTAAGGCAAAAAAAAGAGATAAATAAGTTGTTATTTCTATGATAGGATCTTTTTTTAAATGGACTTAATACCTTTATTTTATTTGTTCATTTTCCTTAATGTGGTGCTGACATTCGAACCCAGTGCCTCACACATGCTAGACAAGCATGCTACCACTGAGCTGCTACCACTGAGCCACAACTCCAGCCCCTGATGAGGCTCTAATTATCACAGTAACTCTGGATATGTTACTATATAGGCAGGTCAATAAAATCCCAGAAATGTTTTTTCATTCAATGAAAGAAATTTTAGTTTTTATGTACTCTTTTGTAGGCCTTTTTATTAATTTCACCATCTAACACTTTATATATCACCTTTCACACATATGTTTGCAATTTGTTTACTTGATTAGATCATAAGAAATAAAGCAGATTTGAGCCAGCTTCCACAACCTTTTCAAATAATTATTTCACTCAAAATCTATTTACATTTTGTGGGTCTGTCATAAAAAAATCTGTGATCACATGCTCATTTATGTACCCTCCTCCTTATAAGCAAAAGATTATAATACATGAGGTAGAACGTGGCCTTTCTTCTGAGGACAAGAGAATTCTGAATGCAGCTCCAGGAATTAATATTGCTATGCCCATGAAATATTTTTTTTTCTGAATATATAAAATAGGCATTGATTAAAACTGCCTTCCCTGATGATGTTCCTGAGAAGTGTAGTCAACATGCAAAGCCTGCAGTCAGATCCTTTATGCCAGTCTTTTGGAGTTTCAAAAAAGACAAAACAAAAAAGGTTGATTTTAAATTATTGTTATGCACTCAAATTCAGTTCCCATAGACACTTTTCTTTATAAAAGACATGCTATACTAGGTATACCTATACAATTTCATTGTTTTTACAGAGAAATGCATGAGTTTTCTTATTTCTGAAAAAAAATTCTTACCCAAAAAAGTGAAAAATCCCTAATATGCAATAATTAAACAGGTATATTTATATGTATTAAATAATGAAAAGTATCTTTCCTATTTCCAAAAACAATCAGGAGAGGAACGAATAGCTAAATACCATTTTTTAAAATGAAAAACGGGGACAAAATTCTATGTTCCAAATAGCTAATGAGTTCAACTATTGGATAAAATTGATATTATACATACATATAAATAGTAAAATATTTCATAGGGAATAAACTAATAAATTTAGTTTTTAACATCATATTTACTTTCCTTTACCTCCCAAGAGAATAAAAAATTACAGCAAGTCATTGAGGTGCTACTTCTGAAATGTGACAGAAACCAGTGCATTGCCACCAAATGAAATTGTAATCTGACTATATCCCATGGCAGAGGACATCTGTCCTTTCTATTTATAAGCAGCAGCAAACTACAAAGTGGAAGATGATTAGAGGTTCCTATGTCACTGGGCTGAAAACAACTCACTGAAAGACATCTGCTTTTCTTTCTTTTTTAAAAGTGTAATAGGCTTTATTTTAGAGTAGTGTTACAATTTGGATATAGATAGGCTCCTGTGTCAAATTGTCCCCAGTGCAGCAATTTTCAGAGTCCAGGAAGTGATTGGATCATGAGGGCTCTGATCTCATTGAATCAGTGATCAGTTAATGCTATTAAGAAATGGGTAAAACCACAGAAGAGATGACCATTGGTGGCTCTCTCTCTCAGTCTCAAGGTGAGTAGCTGTGCTCTACCAGCAGTCTGGCTTCATCAAAGGCCCACAGACATGGGGGTAAGTGACCACAGACTGAAACCTCTGAAAACCTAAGCTAAAATAAAAATTTCCTCCTTTAAATGAATAGCTTCACAGTCTAAAACGTAATCCCTTGTGCTCCACATACACATCTTTCTCTGCTCCCAGTTCAGAAATCTGGCCTGGATCCAAGCCTCTGCTTGGTTTCCCTGATTCCCCAGGGTCTGCCCCCAAATTGGGACAGGGGTGTCCCCCCACCATTCCTCATCACAGGGTTAGGGAGTCCAGCAGATCTAGGAACAGGAACTGCCAGACAGAGGAGGGTTAAGTGTCCTTGGCCAGCCTACAAAGCCTTGCCTTCCTGTTTTCCAGTTTCCAGGGTTTTCTCCTCATCCAGAGACATGAAACACAAAAATATGGAAACCGAAAGCAAACCCACCACGGAGTGCTGGTGATACTGGCAGGCTCAGCCCAGAGGGCAGAGGCCTGTAGCAGGAGTGTGGACCAAAAAAAAGGTCAGGATGAGTGACTTGGACACCTTAGGCTTACCTATTCCCCCTGTGTCTGAGGATCACTTCCTTGATTGCATGATACCTGAGCTTGAAAGGATATTTAGATACATTTTATCCTTTCTCTAAAAGCTGATTTCAGAAGATTGAAACTGGCCCTTTTTATTTCATCTTGGAAGGAGAGAGGTCTCTGAAGTTAAAATAAATAAATAAATAAAAATTAAAAAAAAAAAAACATTTTAGAAAAGTTAAAAAAGCATTTTAAAATCTTAAAGCATTCATCAGTTTAACTTATTTTGATTATGTTCCTCTTAATTTGGTTCCCTAGTTCTTCTCTTTTGAAATGTTCCTTCTCTCAGAGCCAGAAACTTGTCAGTAAATTATTCTGATAATTTGCTTGAATAAATAGTTTCAAAGTTCCTCCCAGGGCGGGCTTTAGGTTTCACAATGCTCTTCAGTTCCTGCTCTGAGCAGCTGTGCTCCACCAGCATACAGTCTTCACCAAGAGATCACTAGAGATCTCCTCCCCTGTCTGAGCACCAAGATGACAGCAGCAGAGGCTTCAGTGGAAATGTTAAAAACAGACCTTAGATTCACGGATGGCCTGGAGAAAGCAGGACCTGGTAAAGTAAAAGATGACATTTGAAAAATACTAAAGGGGATATTTTTACTCTCCAGCCTCCAAATCACAAAGGGAGCTGAACTTCAGGCATGTTAGTACTTTACAGACTCCATAGAAGGTGATATGTTGCAGGGGGGACAGGGTGGGTGGGAGGATAGATATAGAATTGTTATATTAGTTAGTGTATCATGGTATATGTTACTTAAATATTTCTGAAGCAAGATAAATGAAGAGTGAAGTTGATTACAAGAGGAGGAGGAAACTGTTCCTTGTGTTCAGACCTCTGGTACTCGCTTTTGCCTATGTCTCTGGCAATTTACACACTGTCAAGTCACACTGTGACTTTCAGTAATATGCTCTTTATATCCCAGGGTGATGGCAGACTCCAATGCCAATGACTGTAATACACTTACCAAGACAATCTACCCTGCGAAAGCTGGGACATTAAGTTTGCTTATCCTTTGTAATTAAAGAGAAATGTAGGGATTTCAGGGTGAGGGAGGGAATCTGAACTGTTCCACCAGCAAATCCTTTGTCATTTTCACTTTATAGTAAAATATATGAGATGTTATATGAGAAAGAAGAACAACATAATGGATACTTCTATTGCAGTCCAGAAAAAGGGAAGTGAACCTAGCAAAAAATGAAGTGAAATACCTGTTTTTCTAAAAGAAGAAAATGAACTAAACATATGTATTTCCTTCCCCCCTGTTAGTTTATTAGTTTATTTTCTTCTTTTGTTTGAGTGCACAGGATTTTGGATTTCCTGGAAAATGAGGTGGGTTCAAACTTAACAAAAAAGAAAATTCTTGAGGAATATTAATGTTTATCAGCTAAGCCCATAAGTGTTTCCATAAGTAGAACTAAGTATTTCATCAAACATCAAATTGGTCAAATATTGACCAGTATTAACTATTTCAAATGTGAAACTTATGTTTCTAAATACAAATGTTACAAAATTGCTACTAATTTGTAATTTCCCCATTACTAAAACTTAACTGCTTTTATAAGCTAAGTAAGTTGTTTGGATCATAAAACTATAAAGTTTAAATTAAACCAGAAATATGGTTTATTTTTTTTTCCTCTGAGAGATAAATTCTATTCTGTTTTCTAACTAAGAATTTGAAGGTTATCAGGACAAAGTATCTCTTGGAAAGAGATAAGAAAAGTACACAGTATAAGGAAGGTAAAAGAAAAATAAATATGTACAATTACTATGCATTAATTAAAAGTAAAAATTCAATCAAATATGAACATCAAATGGAATAAATGCCAAGTATTATAAATAAGTATCTTTCCAGCTGTTAGTAATATGTAAGAAAGTTCTAGTGTTGAGTCCTATTGGATATTTGAAATATCTGGTAGAAGACATTTTAGGTACCTGTTTTTTAGCATTACCCTCAAAGTCTCCAGCTTTTTGACTTTTAGCTTTTTGATTGATCCATAATAATAATATGCACTTATAAGGTACAATATGTTGTTTGATTCTTGTATACATTTTTAATAATAAAGTCAGAACAGTTAGCATACCTATCACTTTAAACTTTTGTGTTCTTTGTGATGAATATATTAAAAGTTCTCTCTTCTAGCTATTGAGAAATATACTGTGTTTTTGTTAACTATATCCCTCCCCTCTGCTATGCCATTGAACACCAGCAGTTCTTGCTCCTATCTGTAACACTGTACATTTTCCATCTTCTTCCCACCACTCTCCCCAGTCTCTGGAAAGAGACATGAGCATTTCAAAGTTATTGCAGCATTATTCACAATAGCCCAGATATGGAATCAGCTTAAACATACATCAAGGGATGAACTGTTAAAGAAAATGTGACATATACACAATGGGTTACTATACACTAACAAAAAGGATGAAATAATGTAATTGGTGACAACATAGAGGAACCTAGAAAACATTATTTTATGTGAAATGTCAGGCCCAGGAAGATAAACACTGCAAGACTTTGAACATATGTGTAATATCATGGAAGTTTTGTATTTTAAAATAATAGACTTTAAACTCTTTAGATTACAACCAAAGAAAATGGATCATACAGGGACCAGCTAGAAAAAAAAAAATTAAGAGCCAGTATTACTTTCTTGGAGTTGGAGAGAATATTTAAACACAATGCAAACCCCAGCAGTCATAATCAACTCCATTCTTTTCAAATTTGAATGAGTTGCTTTAAATTAATTCAAGGACTATGTGTGTGGGGGGGGATGATGGGATGAATAAGAAATGCATATGAAACAAGATTGCTTATATGTTGATAATTTTGAAAATTGTTGAAAAGGTAATAGATACTTAGGCACTTATTATTTTTTTTTTCTTTTTGTATATGCTTGAGGTTTTTTTTAATGTCAAAAAAGTAAGTAAAAAAAGCAAGAAGAGAAACATTATAAGGAAAAGGAGAAGAGAAAGGAGGAACTTTTAGAAGACTAGTCAGAGGGGCAAGTTGGAGCTTTATGGAAATTCAAGGGATTTTTATTCTATCTTAATGACAATGAAAAATATACGAAAATTAGGATGCACTGAGTTGTTAAGATACTTTTACTATAGAACTAAAAATAATGAATGTTGAGATTTTTATGTCAACCTAAAATCCAAATGACATAACACTGTGCTTAAAATCAGCTAATCCTACGTATCTTTGTCCTTGTGAATGGTTTAAACTGAGGCTCCCTGGTTTCTTTGGAGATGAAATGATTTGCATCTGTTCTTCACCAACACTTGCTGTTGTGACTTTGTTTAGTTTTGTTTGCCACTCTGAGAATCATATGGTGATTCTCAAAAGTCTTTCATCAAGCATTTCTCAAAAGTCTTAACATCAAGCATATTTTATGTGTTTATTTACCACTATGATATTGTCTTTATTGTTGTTACTTTGTAAGTCATGAAATCTAGAACTCTGATTTCTGCAAATTTGATCTTTTTTTTCAAAATAATTTGGCTATTAGTTCTTTTACCTTTTCACATAATTAAAAAGTGACCTTCTTGATTTCTACGAAAAATAAAGTAAATCATGCTGAAGTGTTTCCTGGAATTGCACTGGATTTATAAACCTGTTTGGAAATAGTTTGAATATTCCATCCATGAGTTGAATATTCCAATCTATGAACATCTTTTATTTCTTTATTGATTTATATCTTCTTTGAGCTGTTTATTATTTTTGAATATAGTTTTTATTATACTGATTATGAACATATTTTGATAGGCTTACAATTAAGTATTTTATCTTAACTGGTGTCACTACAAATGGTACTGATTTTGTATTTTAATTTGCATTTGAAAATTGCTAGTATATGAAAATTGAAATGATTTTTAAAGATTAGCATTGTATCCTACAGTTTTGGATACAATGTAATAAATTTCATTTATTACATCTAATAGCATTTTGCTCGATTCCTTGAAGTCATCGTCACAGACCAGGCTGAATGGGATACAGCTGCAGGGAAAAAATGCAGCTCTTGCAGAGGGCCATGATGAGTACCATCAACCAGACACCCATGGTGCTGCAGGTGCGGGGCCTGATGAGCTCCCAGGTGCAGATGGAGGCCACCCTACTGAGGTCCTGTGCCTCATGAACATGGTGCGCCTGGCCTACGAGGAGTACAGAGGCGCGCCTGGCCAACGAGGAGTACAGGAGGTCGTGGGGGACCTGCAGGATGAGTACAGCAAGTACAGCTCCTCAAGTCCACCTGGATACAGATGGTATCCAGGTGCCTGACTACAGCAAGATCCTTGTGGAGTTCACCTCTGTATGACTACCAGAAATCTATGCAGGACCTTCTCAAATTCACCAATAGCGACGTTGTCACAAAATACTGCGACCGCAACTCTTACCACCAGCTAGACTTATGGTAGAGGTGGCCTGGGGAGGGTGGAGGCAGGGCTGGTTGGAGGCTTCTTTACCCACCTGTCTTCCCTTCCCCCCCTCTGAAGATGATGGGAAGAGAAGTGACAGGGAAATGACAGCCTGACAGCCAGCAGCAACTGGAATGGCAGCAATTAAGTGTGGGGGGTCGAGGGGTGGGAGGTTAGGGAAGGGAAGGGACTGAAATGCACACAGGCCCACACAGACAAGCGCCCACACAGACAAGCACCCACACAGCACAGAGGGAGGGGGTTGGGATGGAGAGGGGCGCACAGCAGGGCAAGTAGGACCCCCAGGGCCTCTCCCAAAATAGCCTCCCCACCTTAGACTCCTTTCTCCTCCCCATGGTAGGAACACACTGTGTTTATATTTCATGGCCAAATTATTTTGGATTTTGTTGACTGGCCCTTAGTGCCCTGCCCTCACCCCTTTGCAGGATCACAGCCCCCTCCCTCTGTTCCTCCCTGGTCCCAGCTCTGGTTTTCCTTGTTTCTTAGTTGGTTCTCTTTGGCCTTCCCCAAGAGGCTCCCACCCCCACAATCCCCAGGCCCCTGTCCCTCTCTTCCTCTCTGGGGCAGTTTCATATTTGCTATGACAATTTTGCTCATTAAATATTTTGTTGAATTTTTTTAAAAAATTTTTAAAAAGTAAAAATTTTCTCATGTTTTTGGTGCATTTCTTGGGATGCTCCTATGTCCTCTCTTTTCTTATTCTGTTAAAATGCTACATTACATCCAGTCAAAATGGCAATTATCCAGAATACGAGTAACAATAAAAGTTGGCAAGGATGTGGGGAAAAAAGACATTCCTGGTGGAACTGCAAACTGGTGCAACCACTCTGGAAAGTAGTATGGAGATTCCTCAGAAAACTTGGAATGGAACCACTACTCCTTAGAATATATCCAAAGGACTTAAAATCATCATACTATAGTGATGAGGACACATAAATATTCAGAGCAGCTCAATTCACAATAGCTAAAGTATGAAACCAACCTAGGTGTCCTTCAACAGATGGATGGATAAAGAAAATATGGTATATTTAATACGATGGAATATTACTCAGCCATAAAGAAGAATAAAAATATGCCATTTTCTGGAAAAATGGATTGAACTGAGAATTCTCGTGTTAATCCCCAAAAACCAAAGGCCAAATGTTCTTTCTAATATAGAGATAACTCACAATAGATGATGGTGGGGAGTGTAAATTCATCATATTGTACAGAGAGGAATGGTGGGAAGGAAGGAGAGATAGAAATGGGAAAGAGAATAGAATGCATTTGCTATAACTTTCCTATGTTCATGATTGCTGTAACTCCACATCATGTACAACCACAACAATGGGAAGTTCTACTCCATGTATATAGAATATGTCAAAATACATTCTACTGTCATGTATAACTAAAAAGAACAGATAAAAAAATTAAAAAGGAAGAAATTAGGCAATAAGTTGTTTTACTTAAAGGGCATGTGAAAAAAAAACACTTCTCTGTAAAAAAATAAATCTAGCCTTTTAAATAGAAAAAAAAGATGAATTAGTTTTATTTATCTTGTAATGTATCCCTTAGTATTTCTAGCCAGGTTATTTATTATGGAGGCAAATCTGGATTGTTTATATGTCTCTTCTTATTCCTGATTTGTCTTACACTTTCATTGACTCTTATTCCAAAAATTGAAAAATCCTATAGAGAAAAAGTTCCATTTCCCTTGTCTTTAGCCCTCTGGATATTATTGATGGACAGGATCTTTTGTAGAAGAGACTTGCACTAGGAGAGTACAAACTAAACTTGGAGTTGATTCTGTGGCTAATCAATTTTTTTTCCTCCCTAAGAGTTTCATGAGATTGTATTTGGTATTTATGTTTTGCAGGTAAAAGTCTTCAAAGAAAACTTCTAGCAGTTATATATCCTGTAACTCCTATCAAAATTTATTTGTGCTTTTTCATTATCTCAATCCTAATTGCAAGTGTCATTACACTTTCCATTATTTTGTCAGGTAAGTTACTTTTCCTCCAAACTATGCAATATCTTGTACACATTTATATTGCCAATAAATATTTATTTAATTTTGAGCTCTGTTATGTGTCAGGCACTGTATAAAGTGCTTGAGGTATATCAGTAAATAAAACACACAAAAAACAATCCCTGCTGTCTTCAGAGTTAATTTCTAGCAGGTGGATACAGGTAAGAATAAGTAAGGGTAAGAGTGAAACAGGTTGTAATATTTGTAGGGTAGCAATGTGATCTTCTTTGGGAAGTTATTTAGCAACATTTTGAAGGGAATGGAAAAATCATGGTTTCCTGTGGAACTCTTCCAGACAGAAAAATGTAAAGCGAAGCCCTAAGACTTTGGGAGCGTGCTGTAGATAAAGCTGAATAAGAATGGAGAAGAGTAATATAATAGGGGAAGGTACAGCATCCCCCCATTACCTGTGGTTTCAGTTACACATGGTCAACTGTTTTCCAAAAATATTAAGTGGAAAATTATCAGATTGACTGTCATGGTATCTGTGTTCTACTAATCCTTATTTTACTTAATAATGCCCCCAAAGCACAAAAATAGTAATATTGGCAATTTGAACATACCTAAGAGAAGCCATAAAGGCTGTATTTTAAGTAAAAAGATCAAACTTTACCAGTGGTTGCAAGTATGTATAGAAAAAACCTAGTATATATAGGGTTTAGTATTATCCATAGTTGCAGACATCCGCTGGGGACTTGCAATATATCCTCCATGGATAGCAGGAGTCTTCCAAGCTATTTAAAAACTGGCTTTTATTCTGAATGCAACAGAAAGAGAGATGTGGCAGCATTGAACTTTAATGGCTGAATAATTGACTTCCATACTGAGAATACACTGTTAGGGGACCAGGATAAAAGCAGGAAGACTTGTCAGGGAAATCTTGTAGAAATCAACTTGAAAGAGGATGGCTTAGGCCTGATGATAACAGTGGAGGTGTGGGCAACATAGATATTTTAGAGGTTGAACCAACAGTATTTCATATGAGATTGGATATAGAGTCTTGGGAAAAGAAAGGTCTACAATAATTTTAAGCATTTTCTTTTGAGCTGTAGAAAGAACATAATTGTAATTCACTGATATGAGCAAAGATATGGGTGTAGAAATTCCATTTATGTGACTAATTCCTGAAATTTCCCAATTAGACTTTTCATTCCTTTAAAGAAAAAAGTGAGGTGTCTACTTGAAATATTCTCAGGTAGAGGCATATCCTTTGACCTTAAGTATTTATATCTTATACTTAAGCAGATTGAGAATACAGGAAAGTGAGGGGAACTACAAATGTCTGAATATCATGCTGAGCAAAATAAGCCAATCCCAGAAAACCAGAGACTGAATGTTTTCTTTAATATGAGGATGCTAATTCACAATAAGCGGGGAGGGGCACTAGAGAAAAATAGAGTTACCTTAGATTAGGTAGAGGGAAGTGAAGAGAGGGGAAGGGAGGGATAGGAAAAATAGTAGAATGAACAGACATTATTACTTTATGTATATATGTGACTGCATGACCAATGTGATTCTACAACATGTACACCCAGAAAAATGAGAAATTATATCCCATCTATATATGATATATCAAAGTGCATAAATGCATTCAATTGTCATGTGTACCTAATTAAAACAAATAAAAAATTAATTTAAAAAATTCATCCTTTATACATACAGGCAATAGGTCACCAGCTTTGCTTAGGATATGTTAAAGGACTGCTCAGGTAGAGATGATTTAACACAAGAAAATATGTGTATTTTGGTTTATAAATTGTTTTTCAAATTATTGTTGTTCCTACAACTTATACTATTATACTATCTTTTTTTTTTTTTTTTTTGGTGGGGAAGATTGAACTAAGGTCTAAACCACTGAGCCACATCCCCAGACCTTTTAATATTTTTATTTAGAGACAGGGTCTCAATAAGTTACTTAGGGCCTTGATAAGTTGCAAAGGCTGGCTTTCAACTCACAGTCCTCCTGCCTCAGCCTCCCAAGCCATCCTACAACTTCTAAAACATGACCTAAAATAATTTGAAAAACTACATATTACCTGACATTTTTCATCAGATATTTAAATAGTTGCAAATGATGTAACTTCTAGCACATCGTAAATGTTGGCGTATTAAAATTCATCTTTATATTGTCCTTTTAAATATATCTGTTGGAATATAAATTTTGTCATGATTTGAAACACACCATTATCTATTTATTTATTTATTTTTGTATAAAGATCAACTATGGGTCTGGGAGTGTAACTCAGTAGTAGAGTGATTGTCTAGCTTACGTGAAGACTTGGGATTGATTCCCCAACCATAAAATGAATGAATGAATGAGTGAATGAATGTATTAGTGAATAATTAAAAATTGATAATAAAAAAATACATGAACCAAAACTTTCTTAATCTTAGAAAAGTCTAGTTGGTTTGTTTTTTTCAAAAGTATTTCTCTTTTAGAATTTTATCATAATGTGAGAATGTCTTTGTATTTTTAAAAGTTTATTTCTTCATGTTTAATATTTTTCATTCACTTAATATGTATATATACATTGAAATTTCATTTTTTAAAAATCATATGATAAATTACCGGGTGAGGTGGCGCATGCCTGTAATCTCAGAGGCTCAGGAGGCTGAGACAAGAGAATTGCGAGTTCAAAGCCAGCCTCAACAACAGCAAGGCACTAAGCAACTCTGTGAGACCCTGTCTCTAAATAAAATACAAAATAGGGCTGGGGATGAGGTTCAGTGGTCAAGTGCCCCTGAGTTCAATCCCCACTACCAAAAAAAAAAAAAAAATCATATGATAAGCCTTTCTTAAGATAAATTTTACAGATTATTTAGAATTATAACTTTAATAACCATTTAATATAAATTTTGATAATTATCAAAAGAAAATGTAATTTATATATTAAAAAAATTGTGATTTAATTCATATTCTGCTCTCAATAATTTGCCATAATGTAATATTATGTATAGCTCAAAGTATGAATATGTAGTAGTTGGGGAATATGACAAAAAAAGTATACTAATTCTTCTCTAAATACCTGCATATAGTGTACTTAATTCTGATATTTGCCCACCATATTAATTAAATTAAATGATGTATAAAACCTCAGAGACTTTTCCATTAAGAAAACTAATCCTCTGATGAAATTTTTTTCTATGAACATGAGAGTTGTTTAATCTACTAACCCCTCTCCCAAGATTTAATTGGAATAGCAGTTAGCATATAATTTTAGTTTTTGTTAATAAAAACATATATTAAACATTTTATATGAAGAAATAAGAAGAGAATTGACTATCATTGGAGTAAAAATTTCATAAAACTATTTAATATGAAAAAACATATTATTTCATTAAATTAGCCTTAAATAGCTCAATTAATAATGCACAAGTCTAAAAACGTCAGATAAATGTTTTGCCAAAAGTTTTATTTATTGTCACCTAAAATACTTAACAGTCTCTGGAAAATAATTGTTATATTAAAATATATCAGTGATACTGATCTTACAGCTATTTGCTTTTATCCTATTAACTAGTGACTCATTCTAGGGATAAGAATTAAGAATAGTTGTAAAGAATTGCCTACTATTAAATCTAAGAGAAAATAAGTTTTGATATTTGATAGCTCTTACCTGACCTCTTTTTGTTTTGTTTTCACTAAACATTCCAAAAAGCAATGCATAATTTTTAGACATTAAGGGAGGGAGAAGGTAGAGCTATGGAATGAAAGTATCTGTTCTTCCAATAAGATGTACCCTGAAATCTTGTTGGTTTCAAGACATCTAACAATGGCCAATGGCCAAAATATTTTTACCTGCACAAGCAGTGGAATTTGGGTTTCCTCTGTGTGGAGTGGGCTGGCTGGGGCATAAAGCTAAGAAAAGAAGGCGGTGGAAAAAACCACAATACACAGAAAGTAATTTTAGAAAGCGGGGGTGGGATGGCTTCTTGACATTAAGGGCAGAGTTTCCACACTGGGAAAAGACAGAGCAAGAGCTGAGAGCCCGAGTTTGGTTTATTTGTATGGGGTAAACATCAAAGGTTTTTTCCATAGAACGTTCTTCTGCCAAATAAGGTATGAAGTGGGCTGTCCAGCCCCAATGGGTTGTGCCTAATTCTGGAGCTACCACAGGCAGTCCACTAGTAGAGGGAGGGCAGAGATCTCAAGTCTACACATTAGAATGCAAGGATTATTCCCAAGGGCAGAAGTAGGTCCCCCATGGCTTGGTACCAAGTAAAAGACCACTCAAGTAGCTTCATGGGTGGCGTACCACATTTACATACATTTAACAGAACACACACACACACACACACACACAAAATCAGAAAATTTAGGAAATCCTAGACTGTACTTTTGGTATTAAAAACAGTATTTTGAACAGTGTCAAACTTTGTGTACTGGAAGCTTTGCATCCCTGAAGAAATGCGTAATAGTAAAATCCAGGACAAGGAAGGAATTTTCCTTTCTGTTGTTAAAAAGCAGGGAGGATGACCCCAGAAATGGGAGCAGATTCCCAACTTGAAGGTCACTGGACAGATAATGATTACACTTGGGATAAGACTTGATGATAAGTCAGGAAAGCAACAATCCATATGCTTACTTCAAAATAGACCATGGGATTGTAAACAGAAAAAAAGTAAATAAAAGAGATGAAAAAGTTGACTTATTGTCATTCCTTTTGGTTGTCTCAATTTTAGCAAAAAAGACAGAGCCAATCGTACAGAACCTTGTGTTTGCTACCTGCCCAAAAGATTGGATTGGATTTGGAAACAAGTGTTTTTATTTTTCTGAAGACATAGGGAATTGGACATTCAGCCAGACTTTTTGTGCTTCCTTAGCATCCAATCTTGCTCAGTTTGAAAGCCAGGAGGAACTGGTAAGAAACGTTTTTGGATCACTTTTTTCTTTAGAATTCTTTGCTCTCTGAGTGGTTTAGACTGCATAAAGTTAAAGCTGAAATATGAGAAAGGATCCCATCTCAGACAGAACTTGGGGCATGAGATACATATTAGTGTATGTCATTTCTTGAGGACATTTTCTTGGCCTGGAACTCTGCAAGTCATTTCAGATACATTGATATACTAACCTGCAAGATTAGATATACTGTTCTTTTACTCAGAAGTATGCTAACCACATAACTTGTCATCTTCATTGACACATTGTTGGATATTGAAGGTGGGCACTAAAAACATTGTGCTGGAATGACAGCCATAGGCTGTGACTTTCCCAAATTTGAATATATGGTCATTTATGAAGAAATATAGGATCACAGATATTAGATGACTTAACTGAGAATTGAGGATTGGTCTAACTTGGAAGTCTATGTTTCTCAATTATATCATGCTGCCACCTCTAAAATAGGAGTCTCTAGAGAAGATAAAATCAAGATCTTTCTGAAGAACAGAAACATGTTTTCACTTTCTGTGTTTTATAACAGAATTTTCTGAAAAGATATAAAGGGCTTTCTGATCATTGGATTGGCCTTAACAGAGAATCATCACATCACGTTTGGAGGTGGACAGACAACACTGAATATAAAGCTTTGTAAGTTTTCAGATTTCTTTTTCTTCCATTGAATTCATGTGTGGTTATGTGTGTAACTTGTGAATGGGATGAGAAATGTATTCACAAGGAAAGTGAATTGTACTAACAGATAAGAAATTTGAATCCTGCACTCAGCAGTAGACAGTGTGCTGAGTATGCTCAAGGCCCTAGATTCAATCCCCATTAAATTCCACACTCCCTAAAAATGATAATATTTTTATGCTCTTCCATTGAGTACCTGTTCTTTGGAAAGAACATCCCTAACTGTGATTTCACTTGACATCTTTAGCAGGATGACAGCATCCCACATAGTTCTTGCTTTCTCACGCACTGATTTAGAACTTTGCTGATAAACAGAGAGGGCTGTAAAATCCTAGGAAGCCAGTGTCGAAGGACTGATATCTGTAAGACTCTCAAGTCCACTCTTTCCACTGCTGCATCCATTCGTAAGAGCAAAGTTTCCAGAGAAACATGGGGAATATCTTCTAATGTTTTATTATCAGAAGGAAATCAGTGCATAAATCCACTTGAAGGATTAATAATTTTAATGGATACTTGGTAACTGTAGGCAGGTGGGACATGGCTAGAGGAAGCAGATACATTGACATACTAACCTGAAACATTGGATACACTGTTCTCCTTCTAATCAGAAATACAGTAATCAGATAATTTGTCATCCACAATGGCATGTGTTGAATATTAAAAGTGGGCATTAAAAACACTGTGCTGGAATGACAGGCCTGGGCTGAGACTTTCCCAAAGTTGTATATATGGCACACACTTGGGGGTGTGCCCTTGGGGACTCTACCTAGTTCTTGGCCCCTTCCACTATGCCTGCCTCTGCTCCCTGAGTGTCATGAGCTGAGCAATTTACCTCCGCCATGCCCTTCTACCATGATGCTCTTCCTCACATCAGGCCCAACGCAACAGACCTAGCTGACCATGGACTGAAACCTCTGAAACAATAAGAAGTCCTACCTCCTTTAATTTGTTGTTTGAACTATGAACATTTCAATGGTGGTGTTTTGAAAGTAATCATTACATTGGAATGGGTAAAATATAGGGGCACAATCACTTTCATCAAAAAAATTAAATTCTCTTAGGAATTTAGTTCTAAGTTATTTTTTAAAAATTTCATCCATTTATGAAACAATTGGAGAAAAGACGAAAAAAATAAATAAACTTCAGGGAAGTCCACCAGTGACAAAAGTTTGGAGACAGCGGCAAGCATCAGTTAAATACCTAATCAATAACATAAGTGGGTTTGATAATAGATAAATGATAAACTTGTGTTACTCAAGCAAAGACCCTGAGAATGTAAAGGAAACTAAATGCAGAAATAATGTAAACTACCAATGACTGACACATTTCTCTTGTTCACATTCAAAAACATGGAGGGTTGATGCTTCTCTATTATAGTAGAGAAGCAAATGTGGATGTCCAACCTATGAATATTTAATATTTTTGTGTCTGGTTTTAGGTTTTCCATCAGAGGAGATGGCGAATGTGCCTACCTGAATGATAATGGAATCAGCAGTGCCAGGCAGTACACAGATAGGAAATGGATTTGTAGCAAGCCAAACAGCTATTTCCACAAGTGCCAAATCATGTCAAGTTATTTAAAATAAAGCAGGATGGAGGGATGTTTTGTAACTTGTTATATACAGTTGCTGCTCCACTTTTGTTTTCACTTAGCACTAGGAACATGCATTCGCAAATTTATTGACAACAACAAAGTGGCAAATTATACTTGCCCTGTCATAGTACAGGGATTTGGAAGGGTGTGATTCTAAATTAGATAGGTGTTTTGGTATGAGTTCATAACTTATATTTTGAACCTGGAATATAATCAATATCAGTGAACTCTACTTCTATGAACTGATATTAAACTTTTCTTATATAGTCACTACTTGCTTTGAATGCATGTGGCAATAAAAATGAGTAGACAACTGAAATTATGCAAATTATTTAATAGTCAATGAAAAAATTATAATTGGCTTGAGACCTTTAACATTTTCTTAAATCCATTCAAAATTTTCTTAATAATAAATCATTATTATAATTATTATTTTTTTGTGTGTGGATTGGGGATTGAACCCAGGGCCTTGTGCATGTAAGGCAAGCACTCTACCAACTGAGCTATATCCCCAGCCCTAAATGAAAATTTAATAAGTACTAAAATTAATATTTATTATATATTCTAAAATATTACAAGCAGTGACAAAGTGTTTTTTGCACTTTAATTTTCAATGTTCATATTGGCATAATAAATAAATGCTATACTATATTTAAAAACAAATGTCATTTTATTTTACCCTTGAATTGAAAATCTTGGTTGAATTTAAAATCAAACGACAGACAATTACTTGAACTCTTCATTTACTGGATACCTAATTTCAAAATGGTTTATTTATTATTCAGTTTTGAAAACAAAATATGCTACACTGTACTGATGAGTCCCAAAAAGGATGAAATAACAAGTTACAATTCATCCCTTCCATCTTTCCTACTTTATTGATATGTTGATTTCTCCTTATAATTCTTTTTAAATTTAAATATCTCTATATAGAAGCTAAAGGGGAAAAAGAGTTAAGGAAAAACAGGATCTCATAAAAATAGAAGTGAGACAATAAAGGAAGAGGATTGAGAGGGGTGAGAGGAGGGTGTGGGGAAGGACTAGGGAATTAAATCAACCAAATATGCTATATTCATGTAATTCTTTCACTGTAGCTCTAATAAAGATTTATTGGCTTAATTGGTTTACAATTTATTTTATTTCGGGTTTCATAATCTAATGCATAATGTACTTCTCTATCCCCAGAGACTAGCACAGCATGTAAATACAGATGTGTTCAAAACAAACCTATGAAATGAAGCAGTGTCTTCGTAACTATGAGATTCTGTCTTATTGGCTTAGTTTCAGGTATTTTTCTCACAAAAATAAAGTTAATTTCCAAAAAAAAAAAAAAAATAAGAAAGAAAAGATAAGCAGATTTTATATTGATAAACAGTGTGGGACTAACTCACAAATGAAATTTGAGTAAAATTATGACACTTATTGACCTAGTATTCTTTTTAAAACTAGTTTCTAAACATTATTTGCCACCTATGATTTTGATAAATTGTGTAGCCCTCTACCAGAGTTTCTTCATATGAAACATCAATATACTAATTTCAGCGCCACTGGTGAGTTGTAAGACTCAAATAAAATTGTGCATGGAACTTTCTTGCTAATCTGTATACCTGACTTATGTTAACTTTTTGATAAAACTGTTCTTTCATTATTGCTCAGTGGAAATAAAAGTAAAACTAACACCAAAAGTTCAACCTTCAAAATGATCCTGCTATAAGCAACAAGAAGTCCGTGTGCTATTCAAATAAAATTTTATTAGTTCGGGGAATTCACCACTAGTTGAATTAATCATTCAAAGCACATGTGGGAAATTCTTCTTTACAGGAACTAGCCTGCACAAGTAAATGCTTTACAACATATTACAGACGCAGTCTCAGGTACTTTGGGACTCACCCATTTTCCCACATTAAATCCATTCTGATTTATTCTTTACATTGCAACTGAACTAATATTCTAATCCAACATATAATCAGGTCATTCTCTGCATAAAACTTTTCAAAGGTTCCTATTTTGCACTTAATATACAATTTAAATTTGTAATTATAATCAAGTCCATACAATGCTGTGGTGAGCCGTTCCTATAGACCGTGGCCGCCATTAGAAGATGGCGCCGGCTTCCACTGTGGCCTGTGATAAACAACTCCTTTTATGGAGAATTGGCGCGCAATCCCTTACCACCCTATGAGAAAGATCCACGTGGCAGCTTGGGATTGGTATGCGGGAGGCTTTATTAGGCTGTGCTTGGGCGCTCGGCGGGGGGCGGGGGGGGGTCGCTAGAAGATGATACTTGAATCAAGGCCTGAATAAACTGCTGAAAGAAGAATCCTGTGTCGTGTTTTCCCTTGCTGGCGAGGGATCGCGACACAATGCCACTGTTTTTTTCCCATCTTCTTCTCTCAGTCATTCCCTTCATAATCTTCTAAATTTGACACACAAAAAAATTAACCAAAGAAATTCCATCTCTAGTTAATTTTCTGCTCATGTATAGAACCCCAGTTTCTGGAAGGGTCTCAGAAGAGGCAACTTGTTAAGCCAGAAACTCCACTGAACTATCATGTCTATTTTCTATTGATGTTTTTATAATTCTTAAAGTAATCAGGTCATGGCTACCCCAAAGTCATTGCTTTAAAGCCTCAGTAGCAACTATGGTTCCAAAGACTTAGGGATCAACTTTAGTTGTGGAAAATAGAGTTGCAAATATAGAGAAGTGGTTTTGTTCTGCTCTTCCTTGATCTTTGTTTAATCAACAGTTTCTACCCATGTGCTTTATGACCTCTATGTTAGTTCATATTTCCCCATCCCTGTGTTACTTCCCCAATCTAAATCTCATTATATTGTTTCTCTTAATCAATTTTCTCATTTCCCAATCAGAATGTAGCTACATGCAGGAAGAGCCACTGTGCCTTTTCCTTCATTATGTTCTTAGCATTTTGTGTAGTCCCTGGTAGATGATAAGGGCTCCATAAATGTCTAGTAAATGAATTAATCTATTTGAATACAGCTTTTTGTCATATTTTTAAAACATCATATGTAGTCTTAATAGTTTGTGGCACATTTTCTTAAAAACATGCATGTTAAGATGTTTCTTAAAAACATCTTCTATGGCATGGAATGTACTTCACAGACTTCTGGGTGTCTTGCTTTGTGTCAAGGGAAGTACAGCAGTGATACAAAATCTCCCCCAAATGCCCAGAAACATTTAAGAGTTCCTGATATTGGGGAATAGTTTCAAGCTTTTCACTATTAAGTATAATGTTAACTATCGGTTTTTATTTCTTTTGTTTTTTTACATATTCTTGGTCAAAGTGAGAAAGTCTCTCTATTTTTAGTTTCCTGACCTTCTTTTATTTAATCATGGTGTTGGGTTTTGTCAAATGCTTTGCATTGGTATGATTAAGTGATTTTGTTTTTACTCAACTGATATCATAGGTTCCATTAACTGGTTTTTGAATGTTAAACCAGCCTTGTATTACTAAGGTAAATCCCACTTGACTGTGGTGTATAATTTTTCCACCCACTTACTTTGCTAATTTGTCATTGAGGTTTTGTATCTATATGTCATGAGACATAATGGTTTGTAGTTTTCTTTTCTTGTAATGCCTTTATCTGGCTTTACTATTAGGGTAATGTTAACCTCACAGATGGAGTTAAGAAGTATTCTCTCTCTGTGTCTATCTTCTGAAAGCCCTCATAGAGAATTCTATTTATGTCCTTTCTCACTTTCAACTATGCTCATCCTTTGTTAAACTCTCTTAGTCACTAAGTTGCCAAATTCCACACTAGTGATTATAGAGTTTAGCTTGGAGCACAGATTGAGTACAGAGTAAAGAATGTGGATTTCGACTGCTTGGGTTTGAATGCTACCTCTATTACTTATGAAGCTTTGGAATTTTGGACAACTCTAATTGTGTTTCACTTTACTGAGAGTTGTTATAATGAATAACAGAATTGACCTTTGTATTATTTGATGCTCAAACAAATCTCAGGAGATAAGTTGGTGGAATAAAACAAAGCTGGCATTGAGGAAGATAGAAGAGACTTGTCTGCCTCAAATTGCCATCCGTAGGGGATTCAGGGGAGTCAACAGATTTTATGAGATGATATGGAATACTGGGACAAAAGGCAGGAAATATACAACTGAGATTTAGTTAGGCTGTGCTAGCCAGAGAATTGTGTACAATTCTGCTTTTTCACTGTTGTTGGTGTCCGTCCAGATTTTGAGAACAGTTTCATTTTCTATTCTGAGCATAAGGAAACTGGGAAGCATAAAAACAAAATACCAGGTAATTGGAAAGCAAAAAACATGTTTGGGGCTGGGATGGTGGCTCAGTGGTGGAGTGCTTGCCTAGCATGTGTGAGGCAATGGGTTTGATTCTCAGCATGGCACGTACATAAAATAAGTGAATAAATAAAGGTCCATCAACAACTAAAAAAAAAAAGTCCAGTCTTTTCATTTTTAAGTCACCCAATTACAGTATGTGCAGGCTTTCTTATCTAATCTAGAGGCTTATATTTGGTTTTATTTCCATAACACATCTGTTGCATGAATAAACACAGAACAGATGGTTCAAAGTACCGAAGTCTGAAATAGAACTAGATGTACTTCATGCTTTTACATTTATGTCAAAGTGGATTTTACTGTCATATATAATTTAAAAGAACCAATAAAAAAGTAATAAAAGTTACTAAGTGACTATGTCACACTGAAGGCACAGAAGAGTCATGGACATGTTTTCTAGCTCTTCTCCCATGTTTCAGTCTTTCTTTTTCGTTGTTGTTGGTTTTTATTTTAAAATAAATTGATATACAGTATCAATTCTTAGTGAAAATGCCACAGAAGGACTTGAGCTATAAAGATCCCTTTAGAGCCATGCAACCCTTCTTCCAATTCCACTGCCAAACTGGGTAGGAACCTGAAATCTGCTCCCTGTTAATATGTTCAGAATTAATATTTTTTGAGATAATATAGAATTTTGCATTTGCAAAAAACACAGTCATGTATCACTTAAGGTTGGGGATA